AGAGAAACAGTGCGACAGGGTACACTTAGGTCCTTTATAGGAAACCGAGTGGTGTTAGGCTTACATGAGAAAGAACCGAATATCTTGTAAATTTTTTTCAGCATAGTATTCTTCTGTTCACTCACAAGTATCTAGCGGACTCGTCAAAGAATAAAAAAAAAAAAAAAAAAATAGTATATTTTTTTTATTTGTATATCAGATCTTTCTTTTTTTTTTTGTTTTTTTATCTCTATCTTTTATATTTGTTTAGGTTGTATAGTATATCCCTTTTCTTTTGTTAGTTTTTCTTTTTACTTTTTTTTTTCTCTTTCTTATTATTTTATTTGCTTTGTTGTAAAAATAGTTTAAAAAAATTTTTTTGCCAAAATCTAGATGAAAGAAATTTAAAAAAAAAAGATATAATCATAATAGGCTACAGAATCTAGTTAATGATTTTTTTAAAAGAACCAAAAGGTCTAATTAAGTATTGAAACAAACTCTGTTTTGCAAATCACATATAAATACTTATAGTAACCAGATAAGGGTGAGGATATTTATCACCTGATTTTTTAGAGTGTGGGGTAAGACCAAAATCAGGTGCTATATATTATTACTTAAATTGACCAATTAGGTAACTCAATATAAATATATACTAGATATTGATATATATAGTATTGATACAACTTTTTGTAATTGTGCTACTATAAAGTTTTAAAGCCTATATATAGATTTAGTATGAATGTACGTGTGTATATCCTATATAGTATACAGTATAATCATTTATTTATAAAAAAAATACTCTTTACGTATATGTATATATTCTAAACTATATATGTATAACAAATACTGCTAATACTAGATTTACTCTTTTAACTTTTATTTCTACAATCTTGATATAAATTGCAATTTTGAAATTAAAAAAAATTAGAAAATAATTTTTATATAATTTATTTTTCATTTTGAATTACTCTTTAACTCATATTACTTAGCATTCTAAAACCTTAATTTGAGATATAATCAAGAGCAATACCTATAGTAATAAATTTATGATCTGTTATTTCAAGTAAAGATGAAAGCATAGAAAAGTCTTTGACAATAGCCAAATTTGTTTCAAGCTGTCTGCCTGATTGTCTATCCTGGGGACTAGGATGTGCAAATCTTCAATATTTGGTAAGAAAAGTAATTGTTAAAAAATATTTTTTGCAAAGAGTACAACAGTGTCTAGTATGGCTTTCTAAAAAAAAAGACAGAAGGTGAGTATCATATAATGGTATTTTAATAGAATCAAAATATTCTAAAGTGTGAATCGAATTTAAGTAGTGACCATCCATTCCTTTAATTAATAGGACAAAAACCCATTGTTTACGCTTAATAATGCTATAGCCTCTTCAATTCATTTAGGAGAACAACATGATAGATCATTACATTTTTAAATATTCAGAGAATATTGGTATATATTGCAATAATTTTTGATCCAAGACCATGTCACAGATAAATTATCATAAGTTTCATTATTATCCTCACTATTTTCTTCATTATTTTCTTCACTATTTTTCTCACTACTTTCCTCATTTTGTTCAACATATTCGGCAAAAATTGGTTTCCATAAATAGAGTCTCTTCATTACAAATTAGCAAGGGTTTGGCCAGCGTGGTAAAAATTTAAAGCCCAAGCTCATAGTTTTGTACATTTTCTTGGAAATCCAAGTGATTTCCAAAATGATCAATTGGTAAAGTAATTCCTGTGACTTTTCTAGACAACAATGACATACTTCTTTCTACTAGATTAAATGCTAATTAGCCTGAAGCATAAGTACAAATTGTTAAATAATCTAAATTTAAATGATGAAACAATTTACAATATTGAATAATATTTTTGAAATGCCATGGATTTTCATCCGGCCCACCATCAACCAGAAGGACCTACAATAGTTTAATCTCATTTTTATACTTGAAAACCTTATTAAACCTTTCATTAGCTACCAACGACAAGACCTTTGTCATATGTATAGCAGAAGAAGAACCAAGGTGCCACTGTGCTCTAATAAAAATTGCAATTTGACCAACTCATAACAATTCGTCAGTTTCCTTTGAATTAATCATCAAATAGACAGATGGTACTAATTTTTGTGAAGATCCTATTGGAAAATCATGATCAGATACTGATACTGGCTCAAGAACTGTTTGTATTGTCTCGAAATATCTTCCTATAGTGGAGGATGCTAACAGATACTTTTGCTTTGTTATCTTGCAATAGTATAACAGATTGATCAGCAAAGGCACAGGCAAAGTTTTTAGCATTTTTTACTAACGCCAAACAATAATGCCCATCAACATGATTATTTCTTTTATTCCGGCTAACTCCTGCAATTAAGATTATGTTACAAAATTTACAATCTTACAATACATATAATTTTATGTAAGTTTCAGTGAATTAGAGATAATATAATTTTATTGCATTATACAATCAGATCTTTTTAAATACATATCGTTGAGACAGAACTTTTAATAACATATATTTAAGAAACAATAAGAAAAATTATGTTTATAGAAGTTAGAAATTAGTACTCTGCAAATCAAATCAAAATTTGAATTTGAATTGATTTTGCGAAATACTAAGTTAGAAATATAGAGTATAGTTTACCCTTGTTAATATCAACTTTGTTGATATTAACCTAAACAACAAAATGAATTTTTACAAATTTTTATATATTAAAATTCCCTTATATATGTTAACTTTAATATAATTCCTTGTTAATATCACTATCAATATGAATTTAAACCAATTCAAATAGGTTGATATAAACGAGGGTAGACTGTATTTGGACCAGAATGTAAAATTAAATTTCAAAAAGTATTGTATTTAGGGAGGTTGTATTTAGAGAGATCTGACTGTATAAAGTACTGTCTTTACAAAAGTTTGTTTTACTAATTACAATCAACTCTTTCTATAATGAACTGTTAGTTCTGGATATAAAAATAAGTTCACTATATAAAATTATTAAGTTTTTTTAAGAAACCTTACATTTTTTTATACCGAACTAATACAAAATTCAAAAACTTTTAGTTCATTATATCCAGAATTCATTATACAGAGGTTCATTATAAAGAGAGTTGATTATATATGAAAACTAATTCACCAAAGCTTACTACAAAAGTACAATAATTTTACAACTCTACCTGCAATTCCAACTAAAGCTGGATGGTGATGAGCTCTTGCTAAAAGAGTATAATTATTTTGGGGTAAAATATAATTTTATGTAGTAGTACATGGTAAGTATTCATTATATTTTTCTTCTAGTGAACTATGAAGGTGATTAATAGTTCTAACTTTTATTATTTTATGCCTTTTTTGGGCATCAGCCTCACCAAATTTGATACAAGAATGTATATAGTTGTGTAGATCAGGGTATTGATAAAGTAGGGGGAGTGGCTAGGAGAATCATACCTTATAACCAATTGTTGTTTTTCAAGCAATTTTTTTTTTTTCCTGAAATTTTCTTTGACTTGCCGTGTGTCTTTTTAAACTTTCTAACGGAATATCTTGAGCTCTAATGCTTTCTTTTATATCAGAAATTTGGAAAAAAAATCTTCTATGATACTCAAGATTAGTAGCTTTATTCAGATAATTACAGTATTATATCAATTTCACGAGGATACAACTAGCCACACATATACTTTTGGTACCTAATTTAAGTAGTCTGCCTGGGTTCTACAC